AAAAGTTGAAGAGAGGTGATATTTTCAATCTAAAAGGTGAAGAAAATGATGAGAATTCTGTGTCGATAGTTCTTCGGATAGCTGATCAAGGAGGTTAGTATGAGTGTTGTTTGGTTTATTTTTATTTTTTTTTCTAATATGGAAATTAAATTTATATGTGACATCACTTCAAGCCTTAAAGAAAGGTGGGAAGAAATTACTATCCAATCTCTAATGATGTGCATCACATAACAGCAACAACTGTGTGTCAAAAATAACTTGCCTTTATTTTCATTCCCGAAATGTTTGGACTTGTCTATAAAATGTCAAAGAAGTTTATTTTATATCTTTTTCAGCATAGGTATTCAAGGAAATATTTGTGTTAATTTGAAGTCAATTATTTGTGTTAATTTTATTCAGTAATATAAATGTGGTAATTCCTTTGACTCAAGGTTGAGCAGTTTTTAAAAAAGTACTTATGAAAGTTTATTTCTAATTTTAATAACTATGCTATAATTTATTAGTAAAATGATGTATATTGTGGTGTTTCAATGCAGGGCGAGTAAGAAATATCCATTTCTTATTTTACCTAGATAGTGATACTGCTATTTCAGTTTCAAGTGAAATGGTTGAGCAACTCGAACTTCCAGATCAAAATATAAAATTCATAGCTGAGTTGATAGATTTGTTATTGATTAATTTGGTTCCAAAGTGGAAACCTTGTGTAGATATTGCTCATTTGGTTTCACGAAGTTGTAGAAAAACTATTATTGGACAAAAAGATCTGGAGCTAGCAAAACAGAAGCAGCACTCAGAAGATTCTATACAAAATATTACTGAAGAGAAAGGTATCTCATGCTCGAGTCGCAGTTCTCTTGCATCAGAAAAACATTATCACTCCAACTTGAATGAAATTTCATCCTATGGCAATATTGATCACGGAAATACAATCAAAATAGATGATTTGTGTTCTGAGACTAATGATAAGAAGTTATCTTTAGTTTCGTTCTTGTCTGTGGACTCAGCATTTAATGATTTCAACTTGCCAAGAGTACCAGGAGAGACTGAATGCTCTTTTGTATCTGTAATGGAAGCATGGCCAAATTATCATAGGTGTAAGATATCAGAATTAGGAAGTCATGATATGTTAAGCTTCCCAGCCCATTCTAGTAATGTTTCTTCTTTATCTAACGTAGAAGATGAGTTGAAAATAGAGTTAGAAGTGATTGAACAAAAATATCTAGAGACAATTAAAGAAGCATCAAAAGTAAGATCTCAAGCTATCATGGAGGTTAGAGGAAGGTTACCCCAGAAGAAGATCCAATCATAAGATAGTTTCAGCAGTAATTTAGTTAGCTTCTATTTTTTTCTCTTGGTTCATGCCTTTAAGTATAATGTGTAAATAGTGTATCTTGAATTAGAAAAAAGATTGATTTTGACTATATTTTTAGATCATCCTCTTTTATTTTAATAAATGTACTGATTACACTGATTTAATTCATTTATTTCTAATTCTTCTAAATTAGCCTACACATTTATCTGGTATGGTTTTTTTACTAGTAGTTATATAGTATAGTAAAACTACTTAAATTTGGATTAGTTTGCTAAAAAAATATCCATTACAATTTAACACTATAAAAATATATTCTCTATATTCAGTGACATTTCAATATTTTCTACTCACACTTATGGGTTATATATATATATATATATATATTTTACATTATCATCACCTTACAAGTGGAGTTTGACATGGGGTACAAGTGGATTTAAAGCTTTTTTATTTTTAAGAAAACTATTGATAATATACAAGTGGATTTAAAGCTTTTTTTTTTTTTAAGAAAACTATTGATAATAGAAGCTAGTCGAGGAATCGATCCCCAAAAAAAAAAACAGTCAAGTAATAAATTATAAATTAAAAAAATAAACATGTCTAAGTTTTATTGAAATAAGTATTGCAAGTATATAAACATGGTAACTAAATATTTTCATTTATTTAATTAAATTTTATGTGAATTTATACGATTTAATTATATTCATATTGTTATATTGATCTTAGACTAATCACATTATTAAAATTTTACTATACATAATTATATTTTATTAATTTTGAATGAAAAATTAATATTCTATATTATCCAAAAAATGTCATCTGGACAGTGGGGGATGATCTTGATTAATTAATTTTACAAGAGGTTCAATTCAAAAATAATAATTTATTATTATTATTAGCATGTTAAAGAAAAAGTATTTTAAAATTTCTTGAAAATGAATATTCTTATATTGGGTTAACAAGTAATTTGGACCATAAATTATAGATTCGGGGGTTATTTAAACTCCAAAATGTTATTTGATATATTTTGAATATTAAACAATTAAATTTAGAGTAACTTTGCAACTTCTGTTAAATTGAAACAAACATTTGTTACAATTTTTTTCAAATTCCATTCTCCCCCTTTCTCCTACTCTCTTTTGACAAAAATTGCATATCAAACTGTATTTTTTAAAAGTAACAGACATTTATTTTAATTTAACAGTAGGGGTGAAATTATGCAAAACTTGATTGTTTGGGGTTCAAAATATACTAAATACAAGTTTAAATTTAAATCACTCCTAAACTTATAGTTCAAGATTTAAATTGTATATTAATCCTATTTACATCTCAACATGAATTTTAAAACTCTTATATCTTGTCCAGTGTACAAAATATTTTTCTGTCATATTTATCCCACTTATAAGGTGTATTTTCAACGGATAAATTACTGATTTGCAAAATAAAATTCCAGATACTAACATAAATTTTTCAGCGATGTGATGATGATAAAATTGATCCTATCACTTGTATTCAGTCAGAAGTTATCAACTTACTTCCTCCGGATTAAAATATAAAACATTGATTATTAATTCATAGTTCTTAAAAATATTAATTGAAACTTTAATTTCTTTTTAAAAAAATTATATCTTTTTAATTTTACCCTCATTAAATACTTTATATAAGCATTTTCATAATAATATTTAAAATTTCAATGCATTATTTCTTTCAAAAAGAGTAATAAAAGGAGTATGGATATAATTGAAAAAATAATTATAAAAATTACCAAATGCCTTATATTTTAGACCAAATAAGATTTTCAGAAGAAATGTCATATTGTAATTTGGAGAGAGTATGTAATAAAAATACAAAGTTATCAACTTAGGTTGTAGATACTCTTCCTTTAAAAAATGTAAGATATTTTTAATATTTTAAAGTGTAATTAATTTTTTTCAAAAAAACCCTTAATAAATAAATTATTTTATATTTATTTTTAAGTAAAATACCTCATCAAATAAAAATAAATATAAAAATAATATTAATTAAAAAATAATTAAATAATTTATTAAGGGTCCAATTTTGTGAAAAATGTTTTCCATTCTTGCATGGGAGGGAATAGTCATTTCAACCATGAACGGAAGGACTCATATTTATTCTCTTTGCGTGGACATTCAGCGGAAAATTGTATTAATCTTGAAATAATTTTTTTAAGTAAATGCAAAAAAAATATTTTTAATTAATTTTTAAAAATACAAACTTAAGTAGAGATGGATTAAAAAATAATTATTAATCTTAACATTTTTTAAATTTTAGTAAAAACTCTACTATTTATAATTTTGATTTATTCATAAAATTTAAGGATTGAATAGAAGTGTCATCAAAAGCATAGAAGTACATGAAAATGTTATATTCTTTATTAAATGTATAATATTTATTGGAGTAAACGATTTTGTAGAATAAATTAAACATATTATTTATTTATTTTTGGTAATATAAGGAATAGAGTAGGCCCTACTAATGATGGAGATTATTTCTCTTGAGATGTGAAACGTAAAAGGTAGACTTTTTTAACTCGATTACTACATTCACAATGATTAAGATTTAAATTTTTAATCACTTGCTTGAGTGATGAAAGTTTTTAACCACTCATGCAGACTTTCATTAATTAAAATATATTGTTTATTACGAGCAAAATTTTAACGTAACTCTTTTCCCTTTACTAAACCCTTCTAAAACACAAATGCAACGTTTGTATTAAAAAAAAAAAACACACGCAACACTCACACGCGCGACACACGGCATGCAACATCTGCCCCACACCAAATTCTTTTTTAAATCCTTATAAGCCCGCTTAGAGATATAATTCATACCTCTTGTTTTAAGCAGGGAAGTTTTTGCCATTGAAGCACATGGTTTTTAATAATTTTAGAATTGGATTAAGGTTTTTAAGGAGGCAATTTTATCTCTATGCTTATAAATGAGACAATTTTACTTTTGAACTACTTTTTTAAAGAACGCTAAACACCTTATAAAAAAAATTTTTTGCCTCATCAAAAAAATATTTCAAAAATAAAATTATCTCACTTAATACAGGAGTAAAATTGCTTTTTGAAAAAAAAAATAATTATAAAAATGCACCTCAACCATTGGAAATTACATGATTCTAAAATTTTGATCCATGGTATTTTTTAAAAAGCTTGCCCCCTCTAATTTTTATTTGGGAGAAATACTTATTTTTAATTTTTTGATATTCACTCTTGGAGAATTACATTAAAATTTCATACAAAAAAATTAATTATTATAAGATTAATTAATAACTAAACTAAAGTTAATGAAATTTGTGGTAATTAATTTTTTTATGTGGGCCTGCATTTAATTTTACCTTTACTCTTTCTTCTTTTACCTTCTCAAGTATTTCACTTATAATGTCATAAATATTTTTCTCAGACCTGAAATTATCGTGAGAATAAAAAAATATGAAAATTTAGAATAAAAAAATATTAAAATTTCTCTATTATTTTTTTAAATCAAAAAACCGTATTGTTCTACCTGTTCATTGTATTTCACTTATATCATCATGATTATGATAAGAATCAAAATTTCTCTTTTGTTTTTATTAAAAACCGTATAAATTTGAAATTATGTTTGAAACGTTGAAAGAGGGGAAAAAAGTAAGTAAAGCAGAATCAGCCCTGGTTTTGGCGGGAGAATAAAAATTTACGGATGGAAAGGAAGGCAAGGTTCAGGCTTGAAAGAGCGGCGCCAAGGTTCAATCTGTCATCGAACAAGACTCAGAATCTCAATTGCGGAAAGCTTAATTGTCAGTCTTCCATACAATAATCGACAGAGCCATTCTCTATTGTTTCTGTAAATAAAGAAAATGGCGGGACGTGACGTGGAACTGAAGGCGGCGGCGACAGCTTACCGGAATGCGAAGGCCGAGGGGAACAGGCAGGAGGAGGCCCGATGGGCGAACGTGATGGGAAATATATTGAAGAATAGAGGAGAGTACGTTGAGGCTCTCAGGTGGCTTCGAAGAGACTATGAGGTTTCTCTCAAATATTTGCCCGAGAAGCATTTGCTCCCCACCTGTCAATCTCTCGGGGAAATTTATCTCCGGCTCGAGCGTTTCAGCGATGCTCTAACGTATCAGGTATAGTTGTCGGGATTTTTTTTTCCCCCGAAGTAGTTAATTGGATTTTCCCTCTATCACATCAGTAACCCTCGAGGTACGATTGAGAGAAGAGGATTGAAGGGTTTTCCTTATTTAAGCTGGGCGGGACGTTAGTTTTCTTGAATCTAAATGATTAGGTATCTTGAGAACCTTATTATACCAGCAGTTTCTTACGTTGATAAATGGGATATTGAATAACTATGCAAGTAAGATGCATTTAAAGACTTCTTCAGGGTTTTGCGTAAGCATGCTTTTGACTTACTATGTTGACACATTAAGTTAATCACTTTCTGTTGCATGATATTTCTCCTTCTTTTCGTTCAGAATATCTAAGAAAAAAATTGAAAACTATATTTCTTCTTTTAATACTATCACTGAACAACCATATTGATGGTTCATTTTTCACTTTTTAAAATCGGATATTCAATTTCTTGATGTTTTCCCCCTATCCTGTTTTAGAAAAAACACTTGGAGCTTGCTAGGGATGCTAATGACCTTGTTGAGCAGCAAAGGGCCAGCACCCAACTCGGTCGTACTTATCATGAATTATTTTCAAGGTCAGAACATGATCATCTCTCTATACGAAATGCAAAAAAGTATTTTAAGTCTGCTATGGAGCTGGCAGGGATTCTTAAGGAGGACCCACCAACTAACAAGTCTTCCTTTGTCAAAGAATATATTGATGCACACAACAATATGGGAATGCTGGAAATGGAACTTGATAACTTGGAAGAGGCTAAGAAAATCCTAACCAGAGGATTAGAGATTTGCAATGAAGAAGAGGTCAGCGAAGATGATGACGGGCGCAGCAGGCTCCATCATAACCTTGGAAATGTATATATGGAACTGAGAATGTGGGAAAAGGCTAGAAAACATATTGAGAAGGACATTCAAATTTGTAACAGAATTGGACATTGTCAAGGGGAAGCAAAGGGCTATATTAATCTTGGGGAAGTGCATTACAGGACTCAGAAGTATGATGAAGCACGTTCTTATTATGAGAAGGCACTTGCTCTGGCAAAATCCATGGAAGACGAGGATGCACTAGTTAGGCAAATTGATGAAAATATCAAAACTGTAAATAAAGCTGTCATAGTAATGGATGAATTAAAGAAAGAAGAGCAGAACTTCAAAAAGCTTAAAAGATATTTGGCTGCTGCAAGAGGCTCAGCACATGAACGGAAATGTCTTCTGCAGCAAAATGAGTCCCTTGATCGCCTTCTTGAGAAATCAAGTGTGATCTTTGCATGGGAGAAGGTAGGGTCATCATTTTGTTAAATTCACAGTCTTGTCACAAATTTGCAGCGACTCTTTAATTGAAACGTTTTGAATGTTTAACTGTTAATGAGAGTTGAGACAATTCATTTTCAGACTCTCCTTTATATGACACCTCTTTTCACCAGAGAAGAGTTCCTTCTGCTGTACTTTCTATTATTGGTTTAGGAAAGAAGTGCTCGAGCAGCATGGGTCTCTACTCTCTTGTTTGTGATTTGTTCATTTGTTTATTCGAACTTTCAGTTTTACTATTAGCATTCAAAGGAAAGATGTTCTGTTCGTTTGCTATACCAGTGTTTCATCAAGGACAGGAATTTCGCTATTTTGTCTAGTTACTCTCTGTTAAGTATGGATGTTAGTTGTTCATTTCCATCTCCGTTATGGCTCATTAATTGGAAGCTTTATATGTGAATTCTATGCGGAGACTCTTTGACGCTATTCTTACGTGTCGCTACTTATTAAAATGTCAATATTCCTCAATGAGAATTGTCATGGTGTAGCACTGTGAATTTGCAAAGGAGAAGAAAGAAATGGCAAGTGAATTGCGTGACAATGAAAAGCTCAGTGATTCATATCTGGCTCTTGGAGAATCATACCAGAAGCTCAGAAATTTCAATGAAGCTATCAAATGGTACAAAAAGAGTTGGGAAATGTACAGAACAATTGGTAATTTAGAGGTAGGTTTGGTGCTAATGTCACTGCACGATCTTTTAATATAAAGTTTTTTGTTATCTTCCTATTTCTGACTTTTACTTTGACATGAAAGTGAGACAATAAAAACCTTAATCCTTTAGTATATGACTTGATCGGTAAATGATTTTATAACTCTTAATTGCATGGCATAAGGGGATAATTGAGGTTCTTATAGTTTATATGTTGCCATGGTTTCCATGATGTGCGTGCTCTTTGGTTGATTCTTATTCTTTATTGGTAATGATTATAGGGCCAAGCACTAGTAAAAATTGATATCGGTAATGTTTTGGATTCTGTTCACAATTGGAAAGGAGCACTCGAGGCGTTTGAAGAGAGCTACAGGTACTGAAATTCATATTTTGAAATTTACTGGTTGATTTTATTTCAATATAAAGAAATAAAGTGTATGGAAAAAGAAATTGATTTCCATCTGTAATGCATTATCCAAGGAATTGGGTTAATTTTGAATACAATAGTTTTCTCCGTATGCTTTTGGCGTGCCTGAGATCGCATTAACATTAATTGTAGACATTGACTTTTCCTTACATTAGATGTGAGGAAATTATTAGAAAATTCCTAAAGATAACAACACGCCTGTAAAGACGCTACTTAAACAAACTGATTTCAACTAAAATTCAAGTTATCCCAAAATTGCTATATCATGAATGCCAAGAATCCTACTAAAACTCTATTGCATGAGAGGATGTCTTTAGGCTTGTACATTTATTAAAATTCCACGAAAATGGTAAATGAACCATAAACGATAATTTTAAGGGGTGCTCTTCTCTCAAGAGGCTGATCTTTTTCTCATAATTGGATGCACTCTGAGACTCACCTTTCTAGTTTAAAAATTAGGGTGAGAATCTCAATTGAAAGTTTAGCTTCTTGAAAGAGAGAGTTCTCCATAGAAAGACCAAACCTTAATTTGGTCCAAAATTTCACTTGCAAATCCTTGCTTCCAAAGTAGATAATGAATATTAAATTCTTTCCCTGAATTGCCTGGCCTCTTTAATGTACCAAAAAGAAAATACTTTTCTCGTAAAATCTGATATTGCACGAGCAGCCAATGTGAGACTGAAACGTTTCCACTGAGCTGCATGCATAGATGCGTCCTTGTTCACTTTCTCTTGATGGTTATTCTGATCACTGCTCATATGTCATGATATCACAGGATTGCTGCTGAAGCTAACCTTCCTTCTGTACAGCTTTCTGCCCTGGAAAACATGCACTATAGCAACATGATAAGATTTGATGATGAGAATGAAACCAGGTAAGTTTTTATGGAAGTTCAGAGATATATTTTCTGCTGTTAGGTTGAATTACTCATGGACCCGAGTCGTAAGACCTACTAGTGAACCTGTGTAGTTCTAATCGTTAAATTTCAACCTTTGAAGGAGGTTGAAACTTTTAATTGATCAACTGAAGAAATCAATAGATAAAGACCCCAAACCAAAAGACATACGAGAGAATTACTGCTCTGAGACTGATACTGAAGCAGATGAGTATCTCTCAAATAGTGGGTCTGAATCAAAAATAGCAACTGCTCGAGAGGAATTGAACGATGACATGCCCCTTATGTCACTCTTTCAGTCCAGAAAAAGATCATCCCAAAAAGCAGGTTTCATGGAAGGTTATAGCAACTCTGTCGAGGAACCTCAGCCGTCACCTAGAAGTTTGCCAAAAACTACCAGTCAGAAGACTGTTGGTTTTAAACGTGTCCGTGTAATCCTTTCTGATGATGATGAGGAGGGAGAGAATGTTGATGAGATGAAGCACTCAGAGAGAAAGTCCCGTGATTGTCAGTTAGAGGACTTCTCTACTTCTGATGCAAGTGAGTTTTGATTGTTAATTGCTTTCAACCTTAGACTTTTTTATACCAAAATTAAGTACTCCTGATACTTTGCAAATTGCAGTAAAGAGTAAAAGAAGTGGTGCCAGTCCTGCTGCTAAAATTCAGGTAAAAATCTCTAAATTATAACTTGAAATTCGTGTTTTGTACTTTTATATGTAATCGAATATAAGCCTATACATGCATACTTGATTGGCAGGTTGAAGAAAGCAGTAGTTCTTTCAAATGCCGGAATCCTCACAGCAACACAAAAACGACCAGCAATTCTAGATCTCAAAGCAATGATGTAGTTGCCGAACCTGATATTGCTAGTGGTTCAAAATGTGATACGAATGTCTCTGGCAAAATGTTGCCATACGGAGTCTCCTATTCCATGAGGCGTAGTTCTGAACGAGATGTGAGTTCTATTATGATGGCTCTTGTACATTATTTCATCCAATCTTTTGTGTCGCTATTTCTTATCGATATTTTCTTTAACCTTTCGCCCCCTGTCCTTTCTCTAATTGCAGCATGATATTACAGTCAAGATTGAAAATGACCTGATTTACATAGGAGCATCCTCGTTTGTTGCTAGAGATCAGTTGAAGTCTGAAGTTGCGTGCTTATATTATCTACAGCTTCCTAGAGAGAGAAAATCTGAGGGTACGCAATTCCCAATTGAAGTGTTCCTTTTCACAATTAAGATCGGCAAATAAGATCACCAACCAGTTTGAAAATCTAGTTGTATGGACTCTCATATTCTATATAATTACTTTAGGTAATGTTTGGGAGTTTTTTTTGGAATGAAATGAAATGGAATGACTAAAAATCTTATATTATTATTTAGGAGAAATTTTTAAAAGAGAGTGAAATGTTTAGGGGTGGCTTTCCAAGTCAACCCTTACATCTTAAATTCATTTTTCTTGACTTCCCAATTTGAGAGGTCAATAATAAAATAATATAATATGAATAATATTATTATAAAATTATCTTCATCTTTTTCACCCCTCACCCCTCTCACTCTTTCACACTCCTTAACCGTAAAATTGAAAAATATAATTATATTTAATTTAAATAGGTTAATTTTATAATTATTTTAAATAATAATTAGACAAAATCATTTATTTATTTTAATAGAACTCCTAAACAATGAAATTTTCCATTCCACTCTACTCGGTTCTACTCCACCCCATTCCATTTCATTGATGACAATTCCTCTCCGTTACATCACATACTCTCAAACATGCCCCTGGAGTTTTCACGATTATACTAAAATGTTTACTTGTAGGTTTGTTGCCCATTATTCAGCACATAAAATGTGCTGGAAGAGATCTAGAATCCCTGGAAGCTGTCGAAAATCTTAAGGAATATCTGGGAGATGATATGGTCGAAATTTCCGTTGACGGTATGTAATACAGCTGGCTTATGTTCATTTAGGAATGTCACCATGCGATGGTTTCTACAATTAACGCAACTTCTTATTAATATAATTTCTGGTCAAGAACTGTCAGTGCTTTCTCCCTTCATTTGCCACATTGGATCCACGCGAAATATTTGGTTCTTGAGATCAGTTGAATAAAATTTTATCTACTTCATTGTCGTTAGATATGTCATTGATGTGGCAATTTATTTAGGCATAGGAGGTAGAAAGCATTAGAGGAAGATACATATGCATCATTATCAGGTATCATAGGCCTGCTCTGAATTGTAGCTGTATTATTATTAACACCGATTTCAGACGTAACAACCATCTGCAAGTGAGATATGCAATTAATTTTTGGGATAATGTAAGTAAAGGACCCTGGAAACAATTTAATTTCATAAAAAGATTGCTTACAAGTAAACATTGACAATTAATATAAGTATCCGGTCCATCTAGGTTCTTATAAGATATTAAATTCGTTTAGATGTCCTTCATTGATATTTTCCTTTCGCCACTACAGGATGGGTTCAGAAGCGCTTAATAAAAATGTACATGGACTGCTGCGAGGAGTTGTCCGAGGTACCGAATCTTAAGGTACTCAAGAAACTATACAATTTAGAGGTAAGATGCAACTCTGTCGTGTCAATTCTCTCTTTGCTATTTCGCAAGAGAAGTCATGATTTTTCGTTTTTGGAGATTGTTTTGGACGTCTTTGTGTAATATCTGTTACTTGTATTGTATGGTGGTCAAAATATTTTACGGTTGATAACTTATGAAAAATGCCATTATGTTGAATGAATATTGAATATTGATATTCTTACATTCTTCATGAATGTTGATAAAACGCATATTAAAACGGATTCCAAGGAAGGAACTGTAGCTTTGATTTGTTAGGGTGCTTCCTTGATTGTTGCAGTCGTAGATTCTGCTAACCAATGTGACCAAACTTCACAGAAGATGAAAGAAAAGCATCAATAACTATGATAACGTCAAAATGAATCTTTTTCATTCATGCATTTAAAGAGTGTGTGTATCTATAATGATTTATAAGACACGAAAGGGCCTTTCCAAAGGCCCTGAAACATGGCCCCATTACTTCTGGCATAACTTGCCAAATATGTTCATCTGCACAAACTTTAGCTTCTCTCCAAGTATGGACTGCATTGACTTCCCTTAAGCGCCTCCATTTTACGGTACGACAGATCCAAGAAGCCACAACAGACAGTCCCAGTGATATCAACAAAAGAAATGCTGTACCAAGTTCCCAAAAAATGCTCACAAAAACATGCTTTCATCAACCACAGAGAATTGAATTTTTTGCTTAAATTATTGTTGACTAGATGTGGATCCCATGCATTGCGCTGCTGCAGAATCTGAGAAAAAGCCACATTGTCTCATGAATAAAGCAGTCGTTTGTTAGAGTTTTCATATTTATATTGATATTCATTGTGGCTTCTTATTTTTGTCAACCAGGTTTCAGATGATGAGATTATTGTGGCTGACTGCGACCTGCAAGATTTGTCAGTAACTCCATTGTTAAATGCACTGCTTTCTCACAAAAGATTTGCAATGCTCGATCTCTCTCACAATATGTTAGGTACATGAGGCTGGTTTGTGGCTTTTTTGCTTTAGAGTCCACTTCTCTCAATTGCATTCTGATTACTTTCATGCTCCTTCAAGATAAACTTCTTTTTCTGTGCGCACATGCTTCTCAACTCATCTATATTTTGTTCAACTGAGGCAGGAAAAAAGAATATGAAAACCAGATATAAAAAGTATAAATATATGTAAGTGCTATCTATTCAATAGCTTTGGCCTTACATGGGATCTCTATATATTAGGAAATGGAACAATGGAGAAGCTTCAGAAAGTTTTCATGGCATCCGGCCAATCTTATGGCGGCCTGACCCTGGACTTGCATTGCAATCGGTTTGGCCCAACGGCATTGTTTCAGGTATGGTTCCATGCGCAAAGATTTTGACCTTTACATGATTTCCTTTTCTCTGCCCTGCTCCTGTTCAAATGTTAACACTCGTGGAAGGGAGATTTAAGTGTGAGATTTTAAATTCAATAGGTGCAATTATCTTCTTTGATAAATGATAAGGGTATCTTAATCGAAAGATAGTTCTGAAAATTGAATTAGTGATTGGATATGACCAGGCATACAATTCTCTGAAATACCATCTGCAACTGCCTGTCTTGTTCCCATGAACAACTTTTTCTGCAAAAGTTTTTGAATCTGAACCTATTGCTAGAAAATAAAACTTCCCTGTTGCATTCTTCTTGTTATTCGTTTGTTATTCGTTCGACTTTGATACCATTCCTTATTTGCTAACTTATAAGACCTGCATTTTTCTCTCAGATATGCGAATGCTCAGTCCTATTTGCTCGGCTTGAAGTGCTTAACTTTTCTGGAAACCGTCTTACTGATGCATGTGGATCTTATCTTTCAACTATCTTGGAAAAATGTACCGGTAAGCAGCAATGCTGCACCTTCGTCGTTTTCTTTTTTTTTTTGGTTACATCAGGAACCTTGGTCATTATCCACCTCCATCCTAACTTTACCACGAGTTAATTCTAGGTCTGTCTATTTTAAATATGGTTGTTTGCGTGGTCTCTTGAGGGATGGAGGGATGTTGATAGTCACTTCCTTTTTCCTTTTCGTGGTTATTATCAATTTATCACAAGATACAGAAAATATAAATTACCAGAAAGCACGCTTGTCATTTCTCTAATTCTCTCGTGATCTTGTCATTGGGTTTCTGCTACCAGCCCGTCATAAGTCTCCTGGCCTCTACTTACAACTCTCCTGTTTTGCAGCCCTCTGTAGCTTGAATGTAGAGCGCTGTCATATCACATCTAGAACTATTCAGAAGATGGCCGATGCATTGGACTCTAAATCTGTACTTGCGCAGCTTTGTATAGGTATCACGTATTGATATTCTTTTCGAATACCTGTCAGATGTAATTTTAGAGTTCAATGAGTTCTCTCTACTCTACGCCAGGTTATAACAACCCTATATCTGGGAATGCTATTGTTAATCTACTGGACAAGCTCTCTGCTTTGAAAAGGTAGAATCAATTGGATATATCATTTATCTTGTAATTTGTAACATTCATTATGGCATGTAGAAATTAAATTTAAATAAAATAAAATTTGTTATTGTAGGTTTTCTGAGCTGAATCTGAGCGGTCTAAAATTAGGCAAACCAGTCGTTGATACCCTTTGTAAGCTTGCAGGGAGCATAACTTTATCAGGATTAATTCTTGGAAGCACGGGAATTGGAAATGTGAGTGATATATATGTTCACCATGTGTGCTTTATTATTGTTGATACCTCAATTGTTTGTTCTGCATGCATATCTCTGCTCCTCTGATCCAGATAGATGTTCTTCTGCAGGAAGGGGCAGCGCAATTAACGCAATCCTTGTTCAATGGGACACAAGAACTTGTGAAACTTGACCTATCATATTGCGGGCTTACATCTAATAAATTTTTACATGCAGGTGTTTCTTCATTTTGTTCCATTCTTGAGCTGAGGCTGGAAGGAAATCCTATCATGCCAGAGGTTCGTCGCTTATATATTATCTATTTTTGGTCTTTCGTATTTGTGTTCTAGTAATGAATGCATTTTGGCCGGTTTTGTCTGCATATTGTGTATGCATTCTTCATGATATTACCACGTCAGAACCCTTTGAAGTAAATTGCATGATTTTATCGAGAGGTATATAGCATTTGCATTTAACTTTTGGTCTATATAACTAGAATTCAGGTCCTTTTTTTGTGTGTGAAGTTTGTGAGATGAGCCCTATTACTCATGGCTTTTGAAGAATGCAGTTTCCTATAGATTTCATATCATATTTAGATTATTATCTCCAATTAGTGCTGATCACGATATGAATTAAATCAGTGAATTATTATTTGGTAATCCAAGTTATAATTTTCATATCCTTAATGAATACAGGGCAGCAATACTCTATCGTACCTTTTAACAAACCCACAGTGCAGTCTAAAAGTTTTAGTCCTTAGAAATTGTCAACTTGGGCTTACTGGAGTTCTCCACATAATTGAGGCACTAGCAGGTAGGCATTTAATCTGTTCTGTTTGTGTTCATCCTTTTGAAAATGTATTCACTTGATCCATATTTTGTTTTCTGTATCAGAGAACAACTGCCTACAGGAGCTCAATCTAGCGGGTAATGCTGCTCCCAATGAAATTTCTTCTCTAGGACATGACATTTCAGTAGGGTGCTCAGAAAAATTGAAGCAGAAGCTAGATATTTGTGAATTAAGTTCACCCATGGAAATGGGCAAAACTAACGAGTCTCTAGGGACTCTTAACAATGGTAATAATTGTGAGCTTGAAGTTGCCAAAAATCAAGATGATCAGACGAGAGTAGAAGCCGCAACTTCTGGAATTGAAGACAGTTATGCCAGTTCATGTCAAAGAAATTCTTCATCTCCCAAGAGCCATTTAATTCGAAAACTTTCAACCGCCATTGGTCTAGCAAACAACCTGCAATTACTTGACCTCAGCGATAACGGTCTCCCTGAAGAAGCTGCAGAACTGTTGTACGGTTCATGGTCATCTTCATCTTCACGAGCTCATTCAAGTCACAAACATATGACTGATCAGATAATTCATTTCTCAACCAGCGAAAATAAATGCTGCGGAGTGAAACCATGCTGCAAGAAAGATTGATTTTGTTTCTCTTGATCTCACTGTCGTGGCGAATGATCTCGTGCAGTTATTGGAAACATGTTTCCATCAGAGTATTTATGAATGTGTTCCTTGTCAGCAGTTACTGCTTCTTGTTAGTTTTCTAAAGGTACGTACTAAGTGCTCGAGCTTCATTTGTTAGTTGTTACGTAAAACTTGTATATAAAGCACAATTATTTTATTGATCATATATATGTTGGCACTATATCTATATCTATCTATATATTGATTGCCTCTACTGGACTGGATTCTTGTCAGGGATTCTTTGGGGATAGCTATCTACTTACTGCAATCTAAACATGAGCATCTGAGTAAAGTAGTGTCTGCCATTGAAAGTTGGTTCAAATTACTTCTCTGGAGGGATTAAAGGAAGGGAAAGTTATGTCCCATTAAACCCAAGTTGCAGGATGCAGCTTTGCCTGGCACTTGGGTCCTCTTGATTGCAGATTACGGAGATTTCTTTTTAGATATAAAAGAATGAGATTATATAGCTAAAAAGTGTCCGTGCAAAGATTCGCAGATATCAGCAGTGAAGAAGGTTGTGTGCCATCCAATATGAACAATAGAAGAATTGTTTTTAAGATTTTGTTATATATATATATATATATATATATTGATTCAAGCAAGCCTAAATATTCAAATGCTTTTAAAGACACCACATCGATTAATTATTGCATTTCTATTTTATATTAAAGATTGATATTTTTGTTATTAATTTCTTTTTAAATATAAATGTCATTTCTTGTTGATAATTTTTTTAAAAAAAGTTTCCTACAACGCGATTAAAGGGACAATTGTTTTGAGCATTACTAAAACAATGGCATACACTAGGCCTTATTGAGGAAAGGTGCTTATTCAATTTAAAGAATTAAGGGATTTTTTAATGATTAACTTGATGAGCATCTATAATTTTTTAATTGCAAAATATTCACAAGCTACACATGCATGATGTGTAAATTACATATATCTATTTTTTTAAAATTCAAAAAATCATGAATTTTAGAAAACCTGTTTTTCAGGGACAGTATAAAAAGTTTTCTTGCGACTTAGATTTACCTCCGTGTAAATTGTAATTGGGTTGAGTAAAAAATATATATCTAAGGTGGGAATTCAAATCTTGGAAATGAAAATTAAAAAAAAAATGTTAGTTTAGCTATCCTTTAGTTAGACTTGACTTTATTCAAATTTATATTAATTGTAGTAATACAAGGAATATGACACTTTGAAGGTCCTCATAAATTAATTCCACAACCATAAAATGTCAAATCTTGTAAATGAAAATAGGAAGAAAAAAACTATGTTAGTTTAGCTATCCTTTAGTTAGACTTGACTGTATTCAAATTGATATTAATTGTAGTAATACAAGGAATATGACACTTTGAAGGTCCTAATAAATTAATTCCACAACCATAAAACGTCAAATCTTGTAAATGAAAATAGGAAAAAAAAAAACGTTAGTTTAGCTATTTTTTAGTTAGACTTGATTATGCTAAAATTTATATTAATTGTAGTACTGTACAAGGAATATGACACTTCGAAGGTCCTCATAAATTAATTCCACAACCATAAAATGTCAAAATTTTCCGCCGAGTTGCAAATCAAGAGGGAAACAAAGTCATAAAGTACAGCAAATAAGTCAAAAACAATTAAAGAACAGTTAGACATGAAAGCACAGCATTAGAAAAACATATCAGATTTGACGACACAGATGTATGACCCCATGTCCCAATCCATATCAATATCTGATAAGACGCACGTCATCTTATAAAAAGGAAAAGATAAAGAAATGGGAAACACATATGAAAATCCGCTATCTCATATGTAGATTATTAGGCCAAGTCAGAATTAAAGAAGTACACGAAAGGCTAAGTTGATTAGACGAGTAAGAAGAAAACCTGTGAAAGTAAGTACTATAGCGCAATGAAAATCTTTTTCAGGTATGATTTCAGACTCTTCCAAATGATACTGAAACATGTACTGAATATGCGTACAACGTCTTTAGTACTTTGCGTGAATGATATATATATATATATAAAGGATAATAAAACTTTCTGTTCTTTAATTAAATTTATCCCCCTTCAAATCATAAAAACTAATTATATATAATTATGAAAATTTAAAGATTTAATTGAAAAAGATTAAATTTAAGCAATCAAATTGATAGCTGAAATGAATTTAAAGGGCTGAATATTTCATAATTTCTATATAAAAATAGAGATAGAAGACACGAGGTGATTAAAAAGGTGAAAGAAGCAGTGAGTAATTAATTGGAAGTAAATGATCGTTGGTTGATTATGATTTGAGCAAACGGAACAAGTTGTGATGAAGTATACTTGATTTGATCCATTTATTTAAATTTTTTGCCTTCACATGCCCATATTTCATTATTTGACATTAAAGTTTTAAATTATAGAATTAATAATGAAGATGAAAAGAAATGAAGGCACTGTCACTGTATTTACGGCGCCTCTTGAAGGCTTCACTTTTCAAGAAGGCGTGCATCACTCACCGCCTCTTCATTATCAAAGCATGCACCTTCTCAATTTCTCCTAATAATAATAATAATAATTTTATTTTTATTTTTCCCCAATGCAAGAGAGTAAATATGGGAGAATATCATTATCTCAATAGAATATATAACAACTATAGTGCACCATGCTTTCTCACTCTCTTAACCCTTGGAATTAGATCTCAAGAGTTTATAAAAATATTTACAGATTGCTTATTAAATATGATTTTTTAATTCTTCCAAGAACTTTAAAATGGTTTTTATAATTCGGGACACTACTCTAACCCTCAAAATTGGCTCTTATATTTGAAATGGAGAGAGTGTTACTTAGCTTGTAAGGTACTATTAGTGCAACTCATTTTTAAAATTTAGTGTAATGCACACAGGATTTGTACATATCTAGTTTGTCAAATTAAATTAGTTACAAATAGTTATTAATTAGTTTCAAAATATAACAGTTTAGTTACTTAAATTAAACACTTTTCATGACTTTTTTTAGGCTTGCAGACTTTATTGTATATAAGATATACACACATTTTGATATGGTTAAAATGGTAAAGATCTTATAGGCACATTAAAATTAATTTCTACAAGTGACCTGATATTTTTAGCTTAAATCTTCACATTCACCAATTATTTTTTGTAAAGAAAATTGGGCATTGTATGATTTTAAGTTGTTATTTTTTATAAGTAAAAATATTTTTTATTTTGGAGATGATTTATAAAAAAATGTCCGACTTTAAAATTTTTGAGTAACGAATTTTTCAAGAAATTTTGCATGATTTAAAGAGAAAGGTAACAAAATAAATTTTAATTATTAAATTTCTAATACGAATTAATATATTGGTAAAAAATTTTATTAACTAATCTATGAGAAGTTGAATGATTAAAAAATAAAAAATTACTTATTTGATCTTTATAATTTTGACTCACTTTTAACTCAACCTCTGAATTTTAACTCGTTGTAACTTAGACGTTATAATTCTAACTCAGTTATAATTTAGTCTCTAAACTTTTTCTTTTACAATTTTATCCCTACAATTTCAATCACTTAAATATTGGTCCTTGTATTTTAAAAAATAAAATTATAAAAATAAAAAATATTTTGAACTTTTAATATTTATAATATTAAAAGATTAAAATTATAATAATTTAAACTTTTAATATCTATAATGTCTTGAGCTTTTAATATTTAAAATATTTATAATAAAATTATAAAGATTAGAATTATGTTAAAATTTATAACTAATATTTTAAATTATTTGATGTTAAAATTATAACATTTTGAACTTGAACTTTTAATATGTATATATAATATTAGTAATAATATTATAAAGATTAGAAAGATGTTAAAATATATTACTAATATTTTAAATTATTAAACCTTTTTAATATTTTTAAATGTTATAAATATTAAAATTTTAAAATATTTTTAATTTTTATAATTTTATTTTTTAAAATATACTCCTGCCGTTAAAAAGTGTAAGAAATTTTTAATCGAATGTCACCCTCAATAAAATAATTACTTATTTTTTAACTAACCTTATCTTTCAATATTTACCCTTATTTAATATCCTACAATAAATATAAAGTCATTATCAATAGGGACATTTTAAAAAAAAGATAATGATTACACCTCGAAAGACTAAAAATGTCTTACATTTTTAAATATTTAACTTCTCAAAAAATACCTTACATTTTTTAACGAAGAGAGTAGAGATCAATATTTAAGTGGTTGAAACTATAAGGATTGAATTGAAAGACGCAAAGTTTAAGAATTGAATTTCAATTGAGTTAAAACTATGATAAATGAGTTATAATGAGTCAAATTTTAAAACTTGAGTTATAATTGGGTTAAAACTACAGGGACTAAATAATTGTTTTCATTAAAAAAAATTGGTTTGTTATTTTTTGAATCAAGACTCATGCTAAATATTTCCAAAAAATGCATAATTCTGTGTATAAATGCATTAAATATTATCGTATTATATTGTAAAATAGAAATTTCAAATAATAATAATAATAATTCTTTTATTACATGTGTTGAAGATGAAAAATTGGTATTATCATCATTTAGAATTAGATATGGCATGGTAGAAAGTAGAATCCATAATTTGAGTATAGTAACATCCGGTTGTCCACCACCAATAACATAGACAATCATTTCTCTGTTTTTATCATTATCATTTGTAGTTTTTCTAATGAGTTAAGAAAATAAAGAAAATAATTGCAAATTTTGGGCAAAAAAAAAATGGAAACGCATTCTCATAATTAATCCGTTAAATGTGTACAATCCCTTCCAATGAATCATTTCATTTTATTGAGATAAAAATATTGCAAGACGTCGGCACATGTGTTTTCACCATGGACCCAGACATTTACTTACCACGAATGCAATCATAGGAACTATTCAATCTTTTTTTTAAATGACATTGATCAATAGATGAGTTCATATCAATACATATGGATTTGTATTTAATAAGTGGGCTAAGTATACTCATTTATGAGTATCTCAATTATAATTATTAAATTCTATCAAAATTTAAAAATTACTAAAATATATTTTTTAAAACAATTCCTATAATTAAAATACTCCTTATGTATATCTCTTTCAAAAATTTGAAATTCAATATTTTTTGAGCATTATATGATAAATTTCTTGATAATTATTAGATTAAATCAAATGATTATTATTATGTCATATGAGATACTCATTAAGTGTGTGTGGTTAAGTCATTCATCGAATTCAAATCCTCCAATGTAAATATATAGTTACTCCCTCAAATTCTAAGTATAAACCAAACTTTGGAAGCTTTTTTGTCTTAATATATGGCTAAGTTAGAGTAATTAATATTGTTTTTCAATTTTATTTTTATTTATTTACTGTGGTTTGAATTTCTAAATTGTAATTTATTATGGTTATTAATTTTAAAGGACAGTATAATTAAAAGTTACATTATTTTTTTTAATTTTAATAAGATGACTACCATTTCTGAATGAACACAAAGTTAATTACTTAACTTTGCCGTATATCAAGGACTTGAAAAGATATACCAATCGTTGTAGCATTGTAGTATTATAGGGAGAGAGAAAGACACATGATTGATTGATGGATAATAAATAAGAAATAGAAACACAAATAACTAA